TTTGGTGCTGTCAGAACCACCGCAAGGTAATTTTACGCAGTCCTGCGAAGTTTTGTTAAAATCGGTTGAAAAATGTAGGAAATCCGATCCAATATATAAACGTACAGACACACACACACACACACACACACACACACAATCTGCGTTTTATAATGAGTAAGATTAAAGAATATCATCAAACACTTAAAATCCCATAGGTAAAAATTTTTATTTCATGAGAGCTTTAAAAAGCTCTCATGAAATAAAAATTATTACAGATCACAATCTTCAAGACCTACAAACAAATAATTTTGCTCTGTCTTTTGCCATAGAGCTCTCCCTGCATCTATATCCTCCTGAAATTCCATACGGATTACCATATTGTATTATATATATATATATATATATATATATATATATATATATATATATATTGTAAGGTGCAAATACCAAAAATCCCCAATATATGATACACCCCAATTTATGATACAACCCCTCACTCTATTCAATTTTTATAAGGTAGTATTCATATAAGATACATATTTTATTGTACAGTGTAACCCGGATATAAGAGACCCTGATATAAGAGAAACCCGGATATAAGAGAGATTTTCTCTGGTCCCAAATTAGAGCCCATACTTACCTAAACGAAATAGACCAAAGCCGGATATAAGAGAAACCCGGATATAAGAGACTTCTTCTCCGGTCCCGACAACTCTCTTATATCCGGGTGACACTGTATCCTAATTATGTAAATTAATGGATTATATGCAATATAGGTGTACAATTCAACTAAAAAACCTGAAAATAAATACAGTGTATGTAAATACAAATTAGAGACATGTCATAATAAACCATTCCATTCTTAAATAAATCAACAATATCTGGCGACAATTTTTAACATCAACTTGAGATTTTAACACGTTCAACATTATAGATAAAAAAAATCGTGAATTTTATATACAGTGTAACCCGGATATAAGAGAGTTGTCGGGACCGGAGAAGAGGTCTCTTATATCCGGGTTTCTCTTATATCCGGGTTTCTCTTATATCCGGGTTTCTCTTATATTCGGGTTTGATTATTATATATACATTAACGCTGGCTCTAATTTGGGACCAGAGAAAATCTCTCTTATATCCGGGTTTCTCTTATATCCGGGTCTCTTATATCCGGGTTACACTGTACTGTTTTTTCGAGACTTAGCATCAGTTAAACAAATTCACGGACGAAAAAAGAAAAAAGACCTCAGAATAACGTCAAAATTCGCGAAAATTGTTCATCCTTTAATAGTCAGTTGTGTAAATGTCGATAAAATAGCGAGGGTCACAACGCACTGCCCCGAGGATCGCAGACAAGCTTGGTCCAAAAACTGACTCTGAACTACAAATATACGAAACCCAAAGTACACATCATGATACCCAAACTGATTGTGCCCTAATTTCTCAACCTAGTTACTTAACCTGTGCGCCCGGACGCACTAATGCGCCCTGAAAGGTATCCAGGTGAGCTCCAAGTTAACAAGAGAGTAATTCATGAATTATTTTTATATTTAAAAAAAAAAAATCTTTGTAAAGCTAGAGACACCAAGAGCATGACTTTCATGTCTAAATCAAATCTTTGTCATTTGATATTTTAAATTGGATGCTAAATTCCTTAACCTTTAAGAAGGATTGGATAATCCTTCCCCTTTTTGCCTTCCTCAAGGGATTTTAATCAGTCTTTATAGATCTCTTTAAATAAAAATAGATTCTTCATAAATCCCTTTAAATAAAAACTAGTGCTAATCTTTGGGAATGTTAAAGCAAAATTTTATATTTTCGAATTTCATGACTAATTTTTTGTTATTAAAATTTAAAGTACGCCCAGAGTTATTCTACAAGTGCCTTCTGAGGTGAAAAAAAAGAAAAAAGAGTTTAATAAACACTGGATAGGGTTCAGTCACTTGTATCACACCTTAAAATGTTTCTATCCTTCTGTTCATTGATTACATAGAAATCCTACGTTCCAAGGTTTTTTACCAAATTCTTTCTTTTTCCTTGTATTTTCTAGATGTATCTAGATATGACTTCAAGTCATCTTAGATATCTCACTATTCAGTTTATATATATATATATATATATTTATATATATTATATTCCTAATGTTCCTCCTAATCCTGTTTATAGCCATAGATACCAGCCTCATTTCATGACTTTTGTCAGACTCCAAATCTGTGGTAGTAAAAGGATATTTCCATGCTTTCCTTCCCCAAGACAAAATATACATATGTTAACATTCCAATTAATATTTTATTTATTTTTAAGCAAGTTCCTTTCAAGACAGTAAAGCTTTTGAGATCCAAAGAGTTACTTGCTTCTCTTAGAAAAGAAAAACATTAGAGAGTTTTCAAGGAGACTAATCAGAGGACAGCAGTTCATTGATTACGTTTAAATTTTTCCTATTAAAGTTCCAAAGCATGGAGCTGGAAAGGAGATTTCCTCCTCCTTTCTTTAGCAAATTAACTGTACTGATGATTTCGTGCTTAAATTCATAAAATCTAGGTCCTATAGCAAGGAGCATATCCGAACAATTACGATAAAAGTATATCAGAAGCTATGAGTGTCATACCTGTTCTCGTATCAGACGTATATTATTATTATTATTATTATTTTTTCTTGATTTCTGGCGTCATTCTTTTCTTTTCCGGTCCGCCTAGGACCTAAGGTTAGAAATGGCGTCATGACACTTTCCACTGACAAAAAAAAAAATGATTGTATAGATAAAGCCCTTTCGTAAGGTGGGGCTGTACTTGTCAACAATTTTCTTGTATCTCCTGAGGCATGGACTCCAGAACCTTTCAATTATTCTACTGCAATCTTTTCCAAATCAGTCCTGGGGTCTAACCAAACAGGGATTGTTGATGTTCCCATATCACATTTTCATGATTTCTATTTCAAGGTCCTTATTTTGACAACTTTTTTTATCATTCTAAAGATACATTGCAGTCAGCAGGACTGCCATATCAATAAGGAGGCACTTTTTTTGTTTGTGGTCTTTAATAAATAATATCCGGGCGGTTGGCCTTGATTTTTCTGTCAGTGTGTAATAGTAATCCCATAGAATTGTAACAGGTCCTATCTCCGTAACCGTCTGGGTGGTGTTCATACCAGTTTCTTTCAATTTTTTTCCCGTAGAAGTTGCAGATTTTTATCATTATTATTATTATTATTTGGGCTTACAGTCCTAGTAAATGGTTGACGCCCACATCACGATGAAACGAGTTCCCGAACGATCGCCGAAGTTAAGCAACGTCGAGTCTAGTCAGTACCTAAATGGGTGACCGCTTGGGAAAACCAGGGGCTGTAAGCTTGGATGTGAGGGTGGTGTAATAGATTATTGCTCGGAATTGTTAATCGGAGAGCTGAATTCCTATTTCAGGTGGGTTCGTTATACTCACGTGCAAATTCCCTTGTGAAAGGTATGAATCTACTTATTCTCCCCCCCTCCGTTATGGGTTAATTAGTAAGATTTCTATCACTAAATCACTATTATCTCCAAAAAAAATCTTACAATTAGAAAAATATTTTCTGGCTTTAAATAACCTGCAAAGGGTTGATAAGCCGTAAGAAACGAATCAATCAAGCAATCCTTAATAACGTTTTCTTTTTCACGGATATTTTCCCTAGGACAGATTCTTCTTTTTCTTCCTCTTCTTCCTCTTCTTCCTCTTCTTTTTCTTCTTCTTCTTCTTCTTCTTCTTCTTCTTCTTCTTCTTCTTCTTATTATTATTATTATTATTATTTCTCCATTACAGAAGCGGCTCTTATTGTTATGAATTGAATAGGTTCAAAACCCCAGCTAATCTCAAATTCAACAGGGTACTTACAGAGTCTCCTTGGGTGTCCCAAAGTACTCAGTATATGATATCCAAACACATCCAACAGTGAAACTGTGTTCACATCGGATCAACAATGGTATGGCGTGGGATCCTGAAATGTAATGTCAAGTACTCGAGATTCAAGAACAATTAAACATGAGGATATTCCCTTTCCCTAATCTCTTTCCCTCTCTCTCTCTCTCCCCCCCCACACACACTCTATATATCTACCAAGAATGCATCCTGATCATTTAAGTCCATTCATCCGTCCGTCTACCTATTGATATATCTATCTATTTATGTATCTGAGTGCATCCTGATCATTTGTCAGTCTATCTATCTATCTATCTATCTATCTATCTATCTATCTATCTATCTATCTATCTATCTAAGAAGAATACATCCTGATCATTTAAGTAGTTAGTCATTCAAACTCTCTCTCTCTGTTTCTTTCTCTTTCTCTTTCTCTGTCTCTCTCTGTCTCTGTCCACATTCATTCAGCAGTTGTTCATCCTGGACATTTAAGTAGTCAGTTCATCTATCTATCTATCTATCCATTCATCTATTCATCTATCTATCTTAAGAAGAATACATCCTGGTCATTTGGCAGTAGTTAGTCATTCAAACTCTCTCTCTGTTTCCTTTCTCTCTTCTTCTGTCTCTCTCTGTCTCTGTCCATCTATCTAAAGAAGAATTATCCTGACATTTGCTAGTCAGTCTATTCATTCATTCATCTATCTATCTATCTATCTATCTATCTATCTATCTATCTAAGAATACATCTGACTATTTAAGGTTAGTCATTCAAACTCTCTCTCCTGTTTCTTTCTTTCCTTTCTCTTTCTCTGTCTCTCTCTCTGTCTCTGTCCATTCATCTAAAGAAGAATTCATCCTGACATTTTAAGTAGTCAGTTCATCTATCTCTGTCTGTCTATCTATCTAAGAAAATACATCCTGGTCATTTAAGTAGTTAGTCATTCAAACTCTCTCCTCTCTCCCTGTTTCTTTCTCTTTCTCTTTCTCTGTCTCTGTCTTTCTCTGTCCATCTATCTAAAGAAGAATTCATCCTGGACATTTAAGTAGTCAGTCTATCTATCTATCTATCTATCTATCTATCTATCTATTCAGTCTGTATATCTATCTAAGAAAAGTACATTCTGGTAATTTCAATAGTCAATATAGGAATGATACGAAAACACAGATAGATAGATAGATAGATAGATAGATAGATAGATAGATAGATAGATAGATAGATATAAATATGAAAATGCATATACACTTTTTTTATGAAAATAATAAACATAAACTAAAAATTATTGAAGCTATCTATCTATTTAAAAAAATTTTACACCAACCCTTAATAAAATTAATTATGAATACTGCACAAATGTTTTAAAATGTTTTACATTAGATATTTTTTAGATATCAAGGTTTTAACTAATAGTTTTGCATTTTAAAATATTTAAAGACATTACAATAACATTCCTCCCTTGACCCCCCCTTCTCTCTATACATTTGTTTCACTTACGACATCTTTAATTTTCTCATTCCAAGACCCGTAACGATATTCTGCTAATATCCCTCTTCCCCTTCTATGCATCATCATGGCTTTTCTTTCTTCTCCATTCCCGTAAACCTTAAAAAACTGGTCCGTATTGAGAGGATCCTTCCCCCCTTTCTCTTATCTGAGACATATCTTAATGAAAACATGCCCTAAAATATACTGCATTCCCTCTGTATTTATCTCATCTTGGATATATATATATATATATATATATATATAGAGAGAGAGAGATAAACAGAGGAATACACGTCAAAAACTATTTTCTCTGGAAACTTTTTTCATTTATACTTCAACTTCGTACTTCTAATTTACAATACCCCCGCCTCTTAAAAACCTTAAGTTTTTTTTTTTTTTTCCTTGCTTGGTTCTTTCTTTCTTTCTTTCTTTCTTTTTCTTTCTTTCTTTCTTTCTTTCTTCCTTCCTTGCCTTTCACATTGCTTCTTTTCTTCGTTCGTTAATTCATTTCGTTCTTCCCTACTTTTCTCCCTCCTTCCTTGTTTGCTTCCTTCCTCCATTCCTTGCTTGCTTCTTACCTTCATTCTTTTCTTCTAACGATTGTTCGTTCCTTTCTTCCTATCTCCTTTCCTTCTTTCTCCTTCCTTTCTTGTTTTCTTCCTTCTTTGTATGCTTCTTACCTTCATTCTTTTCTTTCTTTGTTCATTTATTCCTAACTTCCCTCCTACCCCCTCTTCTATTCTTACTCCTTCCTCCTTTCTTCCTTTCTTCCTCCTTTCTTGCTTACTTCTTTCCTTCCATCTTTTCCTGCTTGCTTCTTATCTTCCATCTTTTCTTCATTCGTTTATTCGTTCCTTTCATTCCTTCCTCTTTTCGTTCCTTCCTTACTTGCTTCTTACCTTAATTCTTTTCTTCCTTCGTTCATTGATTCCTTTCTTCCCTCCTACGTTCCAAATTTTTTCCTCCCTCCTTTCTTTCTCCTTCCTTTCTTGTTTTCTTCCTTCTTTGTATGCTTCTTACCTTCATTCTTTTCTTTCTTTGTTCATTTATTCCCTCTTCCTCTACCCCCCTTGTATTCTTCTCCTTCCTCCTTTCTTCCTTTCTTCCTCCTTTCTTGCCTTCTTTCCTTCATTTTTCCTGCTTGCTTCTTATCTTCCATCTTTTCTTCATTCGTTTATTCGTTTCCTTTCATTTTCCTTCCTCTTTTTCCTTCTTTCCTTACTTTCTTCTTACCTTAATTCTTTTCTTCCTTCGTTCATTGATTCCTTTCTCCCTCCTACGTTCCAAATATTTTCACCCTCCAATCATCCTCCTTCTTTCTTGTTTTCTTCCTTCTTTGCCCCTTACCTTCATTCTTTTCTTCAACAATTTTGGTTCGTTCCTTTCTGTAAACTGCATCCGGCAGCCTTTCCTCTTCTACGTTCATGGAAAGTCTTACGAGTTCTTTATTTCCCCTTACCTTCTAATTGTTGTTTCCCTTTCCCCACTGATCAATCTCAACTTTCTTGTCCCACCTTTCTCTATTTTCTGCCTATTCTCTCCTCATTCAAACTTCATCTGTATAAACATTGGTTTTGATAATAAAAATCAACAGATCGTTTTTCTAAACGTTTTCCATCAATATATATGGACCATCCACACTTTTGGAATTCCCGAATTCACTTCTCACACCTTCCAAGCAATTTCTCTCCTTTCCCCCTTTCCCTCTGCTCCCCTCTTCTCTTCTGCCATCCCCTCTCTCTTCTCTCCTTCCTCTTCTCTTCTTTTTTCTCTTTTCATTTCCCCTCTCATTCCCTTCTTTCTCTCTCATTTCCCTCTTCTCTTCTATCATTCCTTCTTCTCTTCTCTCATTTCCCTTTCCTTCTTCATTCCCTCTTCTCTTCATCATTCTCCAGTTCTCTTCTCTCTCTCTCCTCTTCTCTTCTCTCATTCCCTTTCATTCAATCTCCCCTTCTTTCTCTTTTCTCTCAGTTCTTCTTTCTCTCTCATTCATTTCTCTTCTCTCATTCCCTTTCATTCAATTCTCTCATTTCCTCTTCTCTCTCATTCTCTTCTCATAACGTCTTCCCTTTCTCTCTCTCTTCTCCTCTTCTCTTCTCTCATTCCCCTTTCTTCTTTCATTCCTCTTCTCTTCTGCCATCCCTCTTCTCTCTTCCCCTCTTCTCTTCTTTCCTTCTTCTGTTCTCTCATTCCCTCTTCTCTTCTCTCATCCCCTTCTGTTCTCTTCTCTTCTGCCATTCCTCTCTTCTCTTCTCTCTCATTCCCTTTCTCTTCTCTCCTTTCCTCTTCCCTTCTCTCATTCCTCCTCTTCTCTCATTCCCTTTCTCTCTCATTCCCTCTTCCCTTCTCTCTCATTCCTTCTTTCTCTCATTCCCTCTTCTCTCATCTCTTCCCTCTTCCCTTCTCTCATTCCTCTTCTTTCTCTTCTCTCTTTCCCCTTCTCTTCTGCCTCTCAGTCTTCTCTCATTCCTATTCTCTCTCATTCCCTTTCTCTTCTCTCATTCCCCTCATTCTCTCTTCCCTTCAATCTTCTTCTCTTCTCTCATTCCCTTTCTCTTCTCTCATTTCTTTTCTCTCTCATTCCCCTTTCTTTCTCTCTCCTCATTTCCTTTCTCTCAATTCTTCCTATTCTCTCTCATTTCATCCCCTCATTCCCTTTCATTCATCCCCTCTTTTCTCAGTTCTGCCATCCCCTCTTCTCTCTCCTCTCATTTCCTCTTCTTTCAATCCTCCTCAAAACCCTCTTCTCTTCTCTTTTTCTCTTTCTTCTTCCTTTCTCTCTTCTTTCTTTCATTCCCTCTTCTCTTCTGTCATCCCTTCCCTTTCTCTTCTCTTCTCTCTTCCCTTCTCTCATCCCTCTTCTTCTCATTCCCTTTCTTCTTCTCTTCTTCTCATTTCCTCTTCCATTCTCTCATTTCCTCTTCTCTTCTTCTCTCATTCTCCCTTCTCTTCTCTCATTCCCTTTCTCTTCTCTCATTCCCTTCTCTTCTCATTCTTCCTTCTTCTCTTCTTTCTCTCTCATTCATTTCTCTCTCTCATTCCCTTTCTCTTCTGTCTCCCTTTCCTCCCTCTCTCAGTTCTTCCTCTTCTCTCTCTTCTCATTCTCTCTTCTTCCCTTTCTTCATCTCTCCTCTTTCCCTCTTCTTTCTCTCAATTCTTCTTCTTCTCTCTTCTTTTCTCTTCTCTCCCTTTCCTTCTTCATTCCCTTCTCTTTTCTCTTCCCTCTTTCTTCTCAAAAAGCTTTTTCTCTCATTCTTTCTCTTCTCTCTCTTCCCTCTTCTTCTCTCATTTCCCTTTCTTCAACATCCCCCCTTCTATTCTTTCTCTCAAAAACTCTTCTCTCTTCTCTTCTCCATCTCTTCTCTCATTTCTTCTTTCATTCAATCTCTCTTCTTCAGTTTCTCTCAATTCTTCCTCTTCTCTCATTCCTCTTCTCTCTTCTGTCATTCCCTCAATCTCTTCTCTTCTTCAACATTTTCTCTCTTCTTCATTCCCTTTCTCTTCTCCTCTTCCCTTCTTCTCTCATCTCCCTCTTCCTTTCCTCTTCTGCCATTCCAGTCCCTCTCTCAGTTCTTCCTCTTCTCTCTCATTCATTCTTCTCTCATTCCCTTTCTTTTTCAATCTCTCATTCCCTTCTTCTTCTCTCATTCCCTATTCTCTCTCATTCCTCTCCTTTTCTCTTCAATCTCCCTCTCATTCCTCTTCTCTTCTCTCTTCCCTCTTCTCTTCTCTCCCATTTCTTTCTTCTCATTCCTCTTCTCTTCTCCCATTCCCTCTTCTCTTCTCTCATTTCCCTTCCTCTTCTCTTCTTCCCTCTTCTCTTCCTATTCTCTCCTTCTCTTCTCTCATTTCCCTTTCTTCTCTTCTGCTCATTCCCTCTTCCCTTCTCTCTATTCTCTCTCTCTTCTTCTTCTCTCATTCCCTTTCCCTTCTGCTCACCTTCCCTCTTCCCTTTCTCTCATTCTTCCTCTTCTCTTCTTTCCCTTCTTCTCTCTTCTCTTTCATTCCAATCTCCCTCTTCCCTTCTCTCATTCTTCCTCTTCTCTCATTCTCTCATCTCTTCTCTCATTTCCCTTTCTTCTCAATTTCCCTCTTCTGCATCCCTTTCTCTCTGTTCTTCCTCTTCTCTCTCTCCTTCCCTCTTCTCTTCTGCCAAATCCCTTTCATTCCCCTCTTCTCTCAATTTCTCTCAGTCTCTCATTTCCCCCTCTCATTCCTCTTTTCTTCTCTCATTCCCCTTCTTCTCTCTCCTCTCTCATCCCCTCTTCTCTCTTTTGCCATTCCTTTCCCTTCTCATTCCCTCTTCTCTTCTCTCATTCCCTCTTCTCTTCTCCCTTCCTCTTCTTCTCTTCTCTCCTTTTCCTCTCTTTCTCTTCTTCTCTCATTTCCCTCTCATTCAATTCCTCTTCTCCCTCTTCCCTTCTTCCTCTTCTCTTCTCTCATTCCCTCTCTCTCTCCATTCCCTTTCTTCTCTCATTCCCTCTTCTCTTCTCTCATTTCCTTTCTCTCCTCTCTCTTCTGCCCTCCCTCTTCTCATTTCATTCTCCCTCTCATTCCCTTTCATTCCCTCTCTTCTCTTCTTTTCTCTCCCTCTTCTCTTCTCCCTCCCCTCTTCTCTCTCATTTCCCTCCTCTTCTCTCACCTC